ATTTCCGACTCATACTCTATCTAAATAAAAATTGGCAGTCCTTATTCATCCCAATGGACTTTTGATAGGCATGTTTTTGCCAATATATGCTATGTAATACATGAGCTCGCACGCACGGATATTTATCTTCAATGGACGCTCATTCCGTTATTAATAGTGATAAAGAGATGAACATGGTATCAAATTGTTCAGAAAATTATGAGGAATATTTTGTCAAAACTAATATACAAGGAAATTTTTTCGTTCGGCCGTGACAAACGAAAACGTGCTAAAATGCGTGTTTAGCGCGATTTTTTATGAAATGCTTATAATGGCCTTAAACGTATGCAAAAAATTGTTAAACGATTTTGAGAAATTTAAAATTTTACGCGCGCGTTAACGCGCACACAAACGCGTACGCGCATTTTTGCGCGCATTTATTGACCTGAAATTGAACGGACAGATATTGATCTTAATCCTGATAATTATAAATGAGAAATTCCTTTCCGTTATGAAGATATGATCATAAGTTTATTTTTACAAAATGGCGCCTGGATGACGTCACGATAATTTTGACTTTCTAAAAAGTCACGCAGTTCTAAGTTAGACTAAGATCTATCCTCATGGCAAGTTTCATGATAATGGCTTTATTCAGTCTTGAGATATCCTGCGAACAAATTCGAGGAAGAATAATAAATAATAAATAAATAAGTAAATAAATAAATAAATAATAAAAATCTTGACGAAATCAAAAGGTGATACGTATATTTCATACGTATCACCTAATACAAATCTTGACGAAATCAATAGGTGATACGTAGACTTCGTTACGTATCACCTAATAAATAAAAATCTTGACGAAATCAAAAGGTGATACGTCTACGAACGTATCACCTAATAATAATAATAATAAAGAAAAATCTTGACGAAATCAAAAGGTGATACGTATATTTCATACGTATCACCTAATAACATTAGGAAAGACAGAAAGAGAAAATGATAAAGAATATACAATGGAAAGATAAAAGAGATGATGAAAGAAGGAAAAACAAAGAATAACATAAGGAAAATAGAGAGAGTATAATAGAATAATAAACGAAGAACAGAATAAGAAGTGAAAGAAGGAGAAATTGAATAAGCGCGTGCAGGGGGCCATTACATTATCTTGTAGAGAACGGGTGTCGACTTATAAGGAAATGAACAGGACGGGTGTCTGACGCCAATTCGCATCGTTAGAGGACGTGAACGCCGTCCTCGTCCACACAAACGAAAAGCCCCTATTAACCAGATTTGAACGGCAACGGTCAGTCCGCTCTCCATTTTTCATCACCGTTCTGTAACGGGTTATGAGCGTGTTGTGAACGTGTTCATACAGTGTGACCGTTTTCATAACGTATTCATACCCTCCTCATACCGTTCAACACCGTCCTCTTGCCGCTTACTTGCGGCCGGTGCCAGCCGGCCAAAGTTTTGAACATGCCCAAAACTTTCGCCGGGTCCCACCGGGTGTAAATAAGCGCCAACGCAATCAAGTCCTTCGCGAAATCTCTAGAGCAAAACGCTTTTTCTATCGTGATCGTATCCAAAATCTTAAGAGCGAAAACCCCTCATCTTGGAACAAGAACATTAAAGTCATGTCTGGTCATTCAAATTAGCACGCAGACATAATCCGAGTTCCGACTGTTGAAGACAATGACCCAGTGAAAATAGCTACCGCCATTAATGAATTCTTTGCAAATGTTAACGCTGATATCCCCGAACTACATTTGAGAGACCTACCATCGTACCTGCCAGCCCAAACACCGCCCCCACGTGTTCAACCGTGGGAAGTCATGAGTGAATTGAAGAAGATCAAGCCTGGCAAGTCAAGCGGCCCAGACGGCATTCCTGGACGCCTCGTTCGGGAATTTGCTTACGAACTCTCAATTCCCCTGTCAGGGATACTAAATGCATCCTTTCAACATAACAAGGTCCCAACCCAGTGGAAACAGGCAATAATTGTCCCCATCCCTAAAGGTCCTACATCTGCAACTTTGGATAAACTGAGGCCTATATCCCTCACCGACCACTTTTCCAAAATTGCTGAGTTGTTTATAACCAAGCTTCTGTTACGCGACATTAACCCTCATTTGGACAAACACCAATATGGAAGCGGACCGGGCCTCTCAACTACCATTTGCATCGTCGACCTAATCAACTACCTTGCTAAATCAGCTGAGGCACCAAAAACTGCCACTACCGTAGTATGCACCGACTTCAGCAAGGCATTCGATCGGGTCAACCACACTATCGCGATTAAGAAGCATATTGATCTTGGTGCCCGCCATTCGATTCTTCCTTGGATCTGCGATTTTCTGACCGACCGCCAAACCTGTGTTCGTTACCATGGTTCACTTTCGCCCTGGGAGAAGATTCATGCTGGCGTCCCACAAGGCAGACGCCTAGGTCCTGTTGTATTCTTGTCCCTTATTGATGATGTAATGCGTGATTTTTCATCAGCGAGTCACTGGAAGTACGTCGACGACATGTCCATTGCCGCCTCGCACGATGCACGCAACCAGCCACGTGATATCTCCCGTTCACTATCCACTCTAGAAGATTGGTGCCATAACAATTACGTTAAACTCAACACCAAGAAGTGTTCAATCATGCGATTGTCCTTTAGTAAAGTCCAACTACCCCCACTAGGAGTACTTATTGATAATGTCCCCCTGAACGGGGTTAGCAGTGTAAAAATCCTTGGAGTAACCATTGAAGACACCTTGAAGTGGAATGTACAGGTTTCGGATACGGTTTCTCGTGCTAACCGCCGTATTTTCATGTTAAGATCCCTGAAAGCCTTCTATCCCCCCACCAACGACCTCGTTACAGTTTACATAGGATTTGTAAGACCACTCCTCGAATATGCCTGCCCTGCCTGGAACGGAGCATTGACTATCGCCCAGTCCAACAAGATCGAAAATGTTCAAAAACGGGCATTAAAAATTATACTAGGTAGATATTACATATCCTATTCGAATTCCCTATTAATGACCAAGCTTCAAACTCTCCATGCTCGCCGAGAAGAGCTATGCCTCAAGTTTGCCCTGAAAGCACTAAAATCCGACCAATCAGACTGGTTTAAACTAAACGCCAGCACCAGAAACACACGGAAATCACGTATCTGTATAGAGCCTAAGTCCAAAACAGAACGTTACAGGAAAAGCCCAGTCCCATATCTCACCAGGTTACTCAACAACGCATAAATTCCCCTGATTCCTGCCCGATTCCACACCTCTTATTTAAATCGTATGCCTTTTGTTGCTTTTAATACTGCTCAACTTTATACCCATCAACTCAAAAAGATTAGTGCATGTAATCCACATTGTAATGAATGGATACACTTGTGTTTTTAACTGTCAAACTGATTAATTAGTGAATATATCTCTTATAGTTACGCACGTTCCCATGTACATTCTATGTCTTTACATATTTAAAGTGTTTACGCATATATTCTGTTAGTGTCTTAGTAATGCATGATTGGTAAATTGTACTGTTTTTCTCTGTAAGGGAAACTTTGTAATTTACTTTGTCATTTCTTTCTAATCGCCTTTTCCTTGTCGTCTTACTTTCATCATCATTCTGCTTCTCCATGTCTTCACAGTTCCAACTGTTCCATTCTTCTCATTCCACTCCCTCCCTATCTCTCTCTCCCTCTCCCATCTTCCGCATGTCTTCCTGTTTTTCTTTCTAACTTAACTCTCTCTCTCTACATCGTTCTCTCCCTAACCTTTTCTCTCCCTTTCAGTAAGTGTTTAATCATGTTTCTATGATAAATCCTTATATATTGTGTAGCTTTATAGACATTCAATGTGCATTACGGTTCGAAGTTAAACAAATCTTTAGTACTTACTTGTTATAACTCCATTAATCAGCCTCAATTTATATTTAAAATATGAATTTTCCTCACTTAACAATGATTACAGAAAAAAAAATAACGCAGAATCTATTTATTTGTTTCATCAATTTGTTTGTGAGTAGGGAATATGTAATTAGTTATGATCTACCCGACTGTGTATTATGTGTACTTGTCCATATTGTTGAAATGATTTTTAATACATGTAAAACTTGCAATGTAATTAGCTTTCGGGCTACCATTTTGAAGTTGTCTAATAACAAAAACCATTCTACATTAACGTGTTGCCCGCTTTGATAACGAACCACCGTGTGCCCTCGCCGTTCTCCACCGTCCGCAGACATTTTCGCGCACGGTGGCACACGGTAGGCCTACACGGCAGAGTGTGAGAGTCACTTTAGATAAAGAGAGAGAGAGAGAGAGAAAGGGGATGGGGGGGGGGTTATAATATGTTTTTAATCTAAGTTTTGACACATTTATTTAAGGCTAGCCGAATATCTCGTACAATTATCAGAAATCGAGGCTATTTATTATGATGTTGACAAAGATCGAGATCCCGCATGAGCGTCAAGCCGTGACGTAACATCTATTTCAAGTCTGTTTCCAATTCTACACTTCACCAAATCATGCACGAATACACGTATATATATCACGTCGCAAAATGTAATGCTCTTCAAATTGCTCAGTGAATACATTCAAGTCCTATGCGGCCCGCAGTTGCCGTTCATTTACATGACGGCTCTAAATCTTGCGGCGCTTCACCGCGCCATATCTGAACAGGCTTTTATGCTATACAGGTCAGGCAATACAGATTTTGTTTTCCTTCCACCGGGTTTCTTTATTGAATAATATCATTCACATGCATAATACGTATACAAGAAGAAATATGTACATGCAGAATTTCAAAATGATATTCTTGGCCATTCAAAATATGATAAGAACTTACATTTATAGATATCAGTTTCAAATTGCAGTTCATTTTTAAAATATCACAGATTTAGCCTACCTAGCAAAATAATTTAGGAGAAACAAACAATCAGAAACAGTTTGTAAAAGGAAACCACTTTTTCATAATTTTTTTTTTCAGATTTGTTTTACATAATATACTTTTCCATATCATGATAACACTTTATCGCTAATATTATATGTTAAAAAACTGGCAAATAACTGTTTGCATTTGGCTGCAAAAGTTTCTTTCTTTACTATAATTATAATGCAGTTGAGGGCACCGTAGTTACTTCCATTAAACCCAAACAATTTATTTTCATTTTAAACTTAATATGTACATTATTACGGAACAGTCAATGCTCAAGTTTTGATCATATTTCGTTTGAATAAATAAAGTAACAAAATATATGTAGAATTGTTTCTTCACTGTTATTACAGAATGTATTAGGGGGTATTAGGTTATCTTTACACTAATTTAAATCTTAGCAAAGCATCTTTCATATAACGAATTCTATGCAGTATCTTGAACTGAAACCACCTCAGGCAATAAAGATGATTTAGTTTAATTTAATTTAGTTCAATTCACATCTGATAAAAAAGATAAAATAGCAATTAAATTTCAACACACCATACATCATCTGTGTCTGAATAAATGTATCCCTTCCCGTCTCCGACAAGAGGTGGCGCTACACCTCTTACATCTACCAATTTTTTAAAACCATTAATTGAATTTTGCTCATGCAATCATTTTCAACTCTTTAATGTCCATCAAACGTACCATACTAATTTATACATTCATGTTTGGGTGAAATTCCCGAAATGTCAATATAAAATGTTCAATTATAAAACATAGCATTTTCTAGTTAAACTTGTGTTTAACTGGAAATGCCAACTCCAACAAAATTACTACGCTTTACACTTTGGCTCTAAACGTTTCTACACAAACTGATGAAATGTTCAATTACCAAGTCCATATAACTAACAGAACCACATTTCTGAGTTATGAAATCAAAAGTCATTGTCTCAACCTCATATATACCATTTTAATAGTTCCTTTCCTTTTTCCTCTCCTGTTAGTTTAATTCTTTTAATTATATAGAATAAGTAATACCAATTATTAAATAAAGCCCAACTTATTGAGTTTATGAAATACAAACAGTTATAAAACATTGATGAATTAACATCATTTTAAATACACTTGTGTATGCTAATTCTCCATGCGCCTCGAACACATTAGTCATGTGGAGTTGGCGCATTACAAATACTCTATATTATTATTATTATTATTATTATTATTATTATTATTATTAATTACATCAAGCTACTACTATTACAGTACTTTCCACATAACCAACAATCAACTACTGCCGTATCTTCAGCATAGTGGAATAATTATTAGTCAACTGCAGTCCTTTCAGTATACTGGGCTAGTATAACATTCGAATAGCTGTCAGCAGTTGCATATTAACATTAAGACACACGGAAAACAAGTACTAATGTCCTTTGCTTTATAATTGGACACATGCTTTTATTTGTATAAGGCATGTCAATCAATAATAACATTTATGATATTAACTGGTTCTTATAAAGCGCTTTACCATATATAACGTACGAAAGCGCGTACAATTACTATTACCCCGGTCATCGGATTAAATAACTATTCCGCACATTATGGAATACATTCTCCACTCATACAAACTGCGCTAGATAAATTCATTATTATAAGTAGTAGTAGTATTTATAAGTAGTATAGTGTGAAAGGGTCCCCCGGCCTACCCTCATACAAAAAACAACAACATGCACCTCCCTTTGTCTCACTTACTTTCTGCACATCTTTTACCACGGTAGCCATCTAATCAGAGACAAGTAAATCCTGTGTCCGTCTCCTCGCAATTGCCTCCATTAAAACAAGGGTTAGAGCGGCAGGCTGGTGACAGAAATAACACAGGGGGAAAAACTTGGATGAGAAAAGTGAATAACCCAAGGTCTAATACATTATATACATACATACATGTACAAAACAGTGACGTATATTGGTAGTAATAGTGGACACGAGGGTTCGTGTCCCATCCAATTGCAATTTTGTTTTAAAGAAGACTACTAAAGAATTCCAAGTAATTTTTCAATAGCTTGTACTTCACTGGAAGCTCATTTCCTCTTCGTTTATATGACATCAGAACCAAAATCACTCATTAACGATTTTAGACAGTCTGAAGTAAAAGTGTCCGAAACCCAATTGTCCAAAATGAGTGACTTCCTGCTACATTTCGGTCCATTTGGCTTTTAATGGAATTAATTATAAATGGAAATACACCTCTTCCACATGCTCTTAAAGGAAGAATCACACTGGGACCGAGCAGGCACAATTGTTGTATTGGGTATATAGCAAAAGTGCATTTGTTCAACTGCCTATTTCATTTCCTAAAACAAAAATGGCATATGTTCCTAACTAATTGCAAATTAAGCTACCTGCTCATTCATGCGTGATCCTTCCATGCTGATTTCGGAATCATATGAACTGATGGATATGGTTAACAAATATTATCTTTACGTCATCATTGAGCCCTCAAGACTCCCCCCCCCCCCCCCTCCCCCTCCCCTCCCCCCCCCCCCCCCCCCCCACAAGTAGAACAGCTACCGCCGCAGAGACGTGCAAGTAGCACAATACAATTCAGTAAATTTAATTTATACATCATTATATCACATTGGAATGGATTCACCGCCTTTTACGTGTGCATTAGTCATAAGTTTCAAAATATTAAAGCAGGTTGTTCGGTCGGCGGTTTTGTATTTTTATGCAACATGATATGTGCTCCAACAAAAATTTGAATGAACTTAATGTGGGCGTGATTTCAATTAGGGTCGACATTTATTTCCGTACGTATCATTATTTATTATTTATTCTTTCCTTTAGTTATTTAAGTTTTTACCCGGTTGTTCAAACGATATATCAATGGTGGCTTGTTCAAATCTAGTTAAATTTGGTTAAATTTGTTAGATGTGGTTATTCATCCTGTACTAGATTTTTGTCGTTGGGGTGGGGTTTAAGGCAGGCTTAATCAATGTCCTTTTTTCCTGTACACAACTAGCGTATAGGTGTCAAAAGGCCCCTTCAATAAACTATTCAACGTAAGTTCGAAACAATGTTTAATTCAGTTTTCTTCAATAAAACGAATTCATAGTACAAATATAGGCTACCAAGTCAACTGTCCATTTGAAAGTTTAAGTTAGAGTTGATATGCCTCTCCTGTTCATCAGATATTGTGTGAAACATACATTTTTAAAGGTTGACAAAAAAATTGAAAAAATTGAACAGAAGAAGCTTTTGAAAATGGCATGGCACGAAAAAACAAAACCGGAATGCAAAAAGGTTCAAATCTTTGGTGATATCGGAAATATTTATTGTTTACCCAGGAGCCTCTTCAGCATTGATGTTATTCTTTATTGGAGCCGCTCCAATTATCCTACAGTTGTCGTTTGCGAAAGATTACCCATTTACAACTGGGTGGAGAGGGACAAGTATGCCTTGCCAAAGCACATTTTAGTTCCAGGCTGGGATTCGAACTCTACGGTTGGACTGAGAGTAAATTGAATTAACCTCTATTATAATAACGACACCCTCTATTAGTGAATATAATATTGTAATTATATTGAATGAATGACATTTTCGGTAATAATATGCCTGGTCACGTTAGTAGGGCAATCCACAAGTTCCGATCGGTGTCATAACAAAAAGAAATTCCGATAGTTCATATATTCGAAAATGAAATAGGATCCGTAATTCCGAAAATGAGGTACAACAGTGCATCTTTTATCGGAATTATGAACCTTCCGAATACCGAGGCTTCTTAATTTTTAGAATAATGAACCCTTTTACACCTTTGAGATTATGAACATTCGGATATTAAACGAACCTCTGGAATATTGCAGCAAATGTTCGAAATCATAAACCCTCTTTCAACCATTGTGATTATGAACCCCTGATATGGAGAAGTTCATTTTTCGGAAGTACGAAACTTTGCAGTTATGAACCTTCGGAAAACGAGGCCTCCCTGCCCCCCCCCCCCCCCCGCTTTTTTTGTGCCGCCTTATTTCGGAGATTTGCATGAAAATACTACCTGGTTCTGTGCAATAATAACGCCGGACATCATCAGGAAACTGGTGGCCTGCTGGGAGGTCGGATTTTGACCACTTTTGATCGGGTTGCACGAGTTTCGGGACGAACTGTACAGTCTCACCGCTCTCCAGAGTGATTAAACGACATGATACGGTCACATGAGGACATCTGTCGTGTAATGCTGCAATGAAAGTGAGTTAAAGAATGAATAAATTGATAAATACGTTGATAGATAAGTACATCCTTAAACGAATTTATAAGTATAGAAGTAGATGCCAATGAAAAATATTTAAATAAATAAATAAACAATTATAGATAGACAAATGTACATTTGAAAAAAATACTCTTGATGAACAACCAATAAATTCCAATAGACAGAAGGAGCAACGCCTAAAATTGGTTTCCAGCATTGTTCCCAAATACTCATTTACCGTCGTAACAATCATAACACTTCCGAAACTATTCATGTATTTTCCAATAGTCATCTGCATCACTTCAATCCCAAACTTCCTTTTTCAGGAAAATTACTGAGCTTGAAAACTTTTCCAGTCACTTTATATTTCCAACTCCTTACAATCTTCACAGAACTAGTAAGTAGTCTAGTATCTCTTTGGTCTTAGGCTGCACTAATTATATAGCACTAGTACACTTACAAACAATATAATGAAATCCTCTTACTGGATTCTCATTTACATATACATGTACACTGAGTTCATATTCTGTCTAATTAACAAAAATTAGTTTAATAAATGTAGGGACGGAACTAGGGTGGGGTTTCGGCGGTTTGCCTTCCTCCCTCCCCCCCCCCCCCCCCCCACACCCTTGGGCGGCCAAGTAAAGAAAATAAAGGGTTGGGGGGGGGAATGGGAACAAAAAGAAGAAGAAAAAAGAAAAGAAAAGTAAAACAATAAAACGGCGCAATTTTTGGAAAATCTTGGATCTGGGTCAACCCCTCCCCCCCCCCCCCCCCCCCCTTGGCAGTAAGCTAGATCCACCCCTGAAATGTATTTATTTCATGGTTACATACAGAGTACCTGTGATGGTAAAAGAGAACGGGTAAACAATACAGAGAGAGGTAGATGTACGTAGGTGGACATACGTCATTATCTATGCCTAGGTCGCATTTGCTTTACGGCTAGGATACGGCGGCCGTACGCCCCCAAAAGCGGCCGCAGAGGGCGTTTCCCTATCTTTACAGGCCGCAAGGGTCGCCGTGAGATTATAACGTGGAGTTATAATTGTTTTTATTTCTAGGTTTGCTGTAGCGATTAGACACGCCATACCCATGCCGTATAGCGGTTCCACGGCGACCGTACGTCGGGCGTAAGGTAGCCTTGCGTTTTATATACTCCAGGGTTGAAGCAGTAGCATCAGATTGGCCGCACGGTCGACGTATGGTTCCCCTTCGGCTTCCTTGCGGGCACCTTGCGGCTACCTTGCGTCTGCCTTAGTACTTGTCAAAAAGCTACGGCCGCCGCAGGGACGCCCTGAGGCGACCGTGCGTCATCACTTCAAAGGCGTACGGCAATCAATGTAGACGCGTATGGACACAATAGTTCAGTGGACCGCACGGCACCCAGTCGGGCGCCTTGGGGACCCCTGCCGGGCACCGTGAGCCATGGCAGGGTGCACCTGTTCATCGGACGGAGCCCCTAAGCTTAACGGCCGGGATGTCGTGGCGTTATATGTCTTAGCGAAATCACGTCTGTATAGACGCATCTCGCCGCATTCTACCGGCGATATGTGTCTCCTAGATTGGCGAGATGAGTCTGCGATTGGTGAAAAGTGTCCACGCGATTTGTTAACGTTTATTTTCAGAAAACTTTAAATTTAAATGTTTGCCATAATATTTAGATGTTTGAAGTGTTATGTTTTTACGATGGGGCGTTGCAAGAAAGATGAGTTACAATCGATTGCAAATATCAATAGTTTCAACTTTTGCAACTGATATATCAAACACAACTTTCTGTTGCAAGAAGCCAACTGATCGGCGTTATTTTGTATTGTGAAAGGACTGGATGGCCGAGCCTAACGATTTCTCAATTTTAAGTGCAATTCGCAAGCGCTAGCACTTGTCTGCGATCTTTGTGATTCTAAGCAGAGTAACTGGAAAAATATTCAATTTCGAGCGTATTTTCGCTTCATCGCGTATGCTTTATACAAAACTAAAAATATCGTTTGCTTATTTCTGGAATAAATTTGTCTTGAAACATAAAAGAATATTTTGTATATCGCTCGTCGAATTTCGACGTCGCGAATACTCCTCTGATACACATTTCCTTAATTATTGTCCCACATTCAGCTATTTGTGTTAGGCCTAGATCAAGTATTTTGTTTGCATCTCGCCTATGTACGATAACTGCATTACTATCCTGGCTGTGTATTAAAAGCTGTTCTATTGATTCTCAACATTTCAAACACCACTGTACAAATCACATCTGATTTCATTTAAAATCGGTACTTTACTTTAGTGACAGTTAATGACACCTACAGTGTCTAAATAGCAGTAAAATACAACTTTTTCAACTTATCGATGTTAGGGTAGAAAGAATAATTTAAAAATTCAAATCGTGATCGAGTCTACTGTCAAACTTGCCGATCAGCCACATCGTATTCATTGTGTGCATTTGTGTGTATTGACTGTCAGGACTTAGTACAGCGGTCGCCTTAGCATTGACTCTCTATGTAAGGTGTCTGATCGTGCACCTGGTTTTGTGTGCTTATGCAAAATTGGTCAATGTTTTTAATTACCAAATTGTGATTCAAACCTTATGCTTTGTGATCCTGAAGGTGATGCACAACAAATAGGGTGTCATATGAAAGAGCATGTTACCGTTGTAATTCCCAAAGGTGGCCGAATCGTAACTCTAACAATATTAAAACGGCGATTTTAACATTGTTTCCATGATAACTCGGAGATTTCCCACTATTGAGAATCGACCACCCCGAGGGATAATTAGTTCAAGTCGTAAGGAATATGTTGATGTGCTTATTTTTTTCGCTAGCCCTAAGGGATCACATACATTTATGTACGATTGCAAATACCCTTCCCCCCACCTTTTGCATATCGCCTATGCAGCTGTTGAGTAAAAATTATAACTCGGCGTGTACCACTTTTTTGTCCATTCTAGATATCAGGGGATCGACTGTATCTTTTGATCGGTGAGTCTTGAAATTTGAAATGTGTTCTTCTGAGTAGTTGATTTTTTTCAATTATCCAACCATAATGGTAAAAAAAAAAAATCCAAAAGGGAAAAATAAAAAATCGTTAAGACACCCTACTCTATGCTTTGCTGGAGTGAGTAAAGCCTATTATATAGGATTTCCCGGCCAAATTCGCGTGTTTGTCATTCGAATTCATTTACTTTGCATTTAAGTTAGCGCAGATCGGCTTTGCCATGCCAATCATCATTCAATTTTCCAGCTTTTGTATTTTATTTAGGATTTTGGTCGAAGGGTTTCATAGATCTGTCATTAAATTTAGAAACTGCTCAACTAGCATTCAAATAAATATTCACTTGTCGAAGCGTAATTTTTATCATTCAAATTAACACCTGTCATTCGTATTCGTAATATTTTTATTCAAGTTAGGAATGTTAGGGGAAGAATTGCAACAAACTTTTACAGTATTTAAATAATGCAGTTAAAATGCATGATTTGCCATTAGGGTCTAAGCTGTTATTCCATTTATTTATTTTCAGGACAATGCAGATGGGTGTAGTCAGACATAAAGTAGAGAAGGGGCGAAATCAAGGGATATGACATTTCTGCACGGACATGTTCATATACCCGGGAAAGGTGGGGGTACCCTCAATCGCCCTTTTTTACTACAGACTCGGAATTTTACAAAAGTAATTCACTTCGTCTCTTATACCCAGCACACCCCTCTGTTTTTCTTAAAGAGTTTCATAGTTTACCTGCCCGCCAGCAGATCGATGGCTAAGACATGGCTAAATAATGAATCATGTTCAAATTGTTGACTCTAATCCCTCCCTACTCCAGTCACGATATTATACCGTTCTTCCATAATGAAATTATGATGAAATTATGATCAATTTATGATAAAACATAAGACAAACAACTTCCTTAAATGAACATTTACAAATATACTGAGACCGTCAGTTCCGTAGATGCAAGTCGTTTTTTTTTCTTCTTATCAATCAAACTTAAATGCTGATGAATATCAGATAAATCTAATAATAATAATTGTATAAATGCAAGAAAATGAAATATGATGAAATACACATGAAAAAACAATCTTGAAAGAAAAAGAATGAGCTATAAAAAGTGTGTAATAAACGAGAAATGTATAATGACCATCATTTTAAGTGCACAAAGAGCTAATTTGAATGCTACAAATGAATTAGAATGCTAGAAGTACACCGTCGCGTTGTCAGAAAATCGTGTTGCGCCAAATCGAATGACCAAATAGCGAAAGAAGCATAATGTTCGTTAATTTGAATGAAACATATGTAGATTCTAACGAAAAGTCCATAGATTTGAAAACTAGAAAAGGGAATATAAACCCGAGTTATACCTGACTGCACTAAAACCGTCGAATTTGAAAGCAAGACAAACTAATTTGAATGACAAACTCGCGAATTTGGCCGGGAAATCCTATAGTACATGTAAAAGGTAGCGCTAGTTCATCAAAGTTGCTATAATATGATTGGGGGGGGGGGGGCTCCGCTTTGCACTCGTAAAATTTGACTTGGAATTGAACAAGAAACTCTCACTGATTCCTGTAATGCTCCTGACATTGTATACTTGTAGTACAACTTACAAAGTAGATCTGTCAAAGAATATTTCTTAAATCGACAAAGAACAACATGATTTCCAGAAGATATTGTGCAACGGCTGTGTCATTTTGACACTCTGCAAATACAAAAGTTAGATACTGTGATCAACTACTGGCAAACTTATGACCATTTCTAATTTCTAGTATGACTATTTTACACTATTTATTTGGGTAGAACTTATGTTCACCCTATCATAGCCGGACAACATCAAAATAAATAATAAATTAGCCAAACCCCCTTCCCTTAAAAAAAGGTTCCACTTACAAAGTATATTCAAGTTCACCTAAAGGTTTCGAAAAAACATTTTTGACAATTATTTGCGGACACGTATTATTTTTCTTCTTCTGTTCAAAAGCCTTAAAGATTCCACATTTCCTCATGGG